CCATCAGCGGCCTGAGGACCTGGCATCCGCCTCCTCCCGCCCCTTGAGGCTGGAGAGTGGACGCGGTGGGGGGGGTGGGGCGGGGGGCAGCTTTCGAGAATTACGAGGACAGAAGGCAGAGGCCCTCCCCATCCGCATTATTGGAGGAGAGCCTCCCCCAGCTTGGGGAGGGGGAGAGCGGGGCATTGGGCGCCCCCTGCAGCGGCCGCTGCCCTGACCCGACGGGCATCGGCTGGCTCTCCCCCTCCAGCCAGGACGACACGAGCGACCGAGGCCAGGGACTCCTCTCCTTGGGCCTCTGCATGCCCCCATCCCTGGCTCTGGGGTAGGCCCAGGGAGGAGACACCCCCAACCCCCACCCGGTCTGCCCTGGAGAGAAGAGACTGCCCTTCCATGCCCCTGAGTGAGGGGCCTGGGGCCCAGGCTGCCCGTGTTCCCCAAGGGCAAGGGTCTCTCTGTTGAGGAGGAGGGGCCTGTCAGCCACAACTTCTTTCCTCCTCAGCGCCCCATCTCCCTCTCTGCACCCTGCAATTCCCAGCCTTCCGTATTTATTTCCCTGGCCCTGCCGACAGCCCCTCCTTCTCTGTCTCCGGGATTCAGGCCTCCCTCCCTGACATGGAGAGTAACCTGTCTGGCCTGGTGCCTGCTGCCGGGCTGGTGCCTGCACTGCCACCTGCTGTGACCCTGGGGCTGACGGCTGCCTACACCACCCTGTATGCCCTGCTCTTCTTCTCCGTCTATGCCCAGCTCTGGCTGGTGCTTCTGTATGGGCACAAGCGTCTCAGCTATCAGACGGTGTTCCTGGCCCTCTGTCTGCTCTGGGCTGCCTTGCGTACCACTCTCTTCTCCTTCTACTTCCGAGATACTCCCCGCGCCAACCGCCTGGGGCCCTTGCCCTTCTGGCTTCTCTACTGCTGCCCCGTCTGCCTGCAGTTCTTCACCTTGACGCTTATGAACCTCTACTTTGCCCAGGTAACCAACTGTGGTCCCGGGTGGGAGGTGGGAGGTGGCAAGCCTTAAGGACCCACGGGAGTGAAGGGCATCTCTGCTCCTAGGTGGTGTTCAAGGCCAAGGCGAAGCGTCGGCCGGAGATGAGCCGAGGCTTGTAAGTACTCGGGACACTGGTGGGCTCAACCTCCAGGTCAGGGGCAGGGGACAGTCCCATGTAGATCCCTTCCCACCTCTCAGGGCTGAGACAAAGACAACCCAGGGAATGTCTGTGGAAGAGCTTGGAAAAGTTAAAGCACCTGGCGCAGATGGCTCAGCAGAGGCGTTGCAGATCTGCAAGGCACAAGAATAGGAATGGTTGTGGTAGTGTGAGGGAGAGGAACCCAGTGGCATCCACCATGGAGGGTGAGCTGGAGGCTCCAGCCCATGGAAGCACCAAAGCCATATGCACTCCTGGGTGACCTGGGGCCGCAATGCCCTCGTCATTTGTACAGTGTCTTACGGTTTATAAAGAGCTTTCCCAGCCATCTTTCATTTGTACAATTTCCCTGAGAGGCTACTCTCCTCCCTTGAGAGATGAAGAAACTGAGGCCCAGCCAGGTAAGGCATCAGGATCAAGGTCGCAGAGCTGGGGCTCAGACGGAGACTTCTGACTCCAGTTGGTGCCCCTTCCGAGGTACCATGGTTGTCAGTCACCTTCTGACCTCTTTGAGCCTCAGTTTCTCCATCTATAAGAATGGAGGAACAGGGCTCAGACTGGATGCCCCGAGTTCTGTGGACATTGGGGTTTCCTGCAGGAGGTGGGGCAGGTGGTGAGTGCTGAGGGCTGTTGAGGGCCCGGGCTGACTGTGCTGTGGCTGCAGGCTGGCTGTCCGAGGGGCCTTTGTGGGGGCCTCGCTGCTCTTTCTGCTGGTGAACGTGCTGTGTGCTGTGCTCTCCCATCGGCGCCGGGCACAGCCCTGGGCCCTGCTGCTTGTCCGCGTCCTGGTGAGCGACTCCCTGTTCGTCATCTGTGCGCTGTCTCTTGCTGCCTGCCTCTGCCTCGTCGCCAGGCGGGCCCCCTCCACTAGCATCTACCTGGAGGCCAAGGTAGGGCCGCAGCACTGATGCCCAGGTGTCCTTTGGGATCTCTGGGCAGTGGTTCTCAGGGTGTAGAGGAAGCTGGGAGCCTTCTCTTCCTGAGGGTCCTCTGTTGTTACCTGTGCCAGGGGACCAGTGTGTGCCAGGCGGCCGCGATGGGTGGAGCCATGGTCCTGCTCTATGCCAGCCGGGCCTGCTACAACCTGACAGCACTGGCCTTGGCCCCCCAGAGCCGGCTGGACACCTTCGATTACGACTGGTACAATGTGTCTGATCAGGTGGGCATACGCATGTCTGCCACCTCCTTAGTAGCCGTGGCACCTTGGCCCCAGCTGGCCTGGGCCCTGTCCCACTGCCCCCTTGGCGTGACTGCAGACTGGCACCAGCCCCTGCCTTCCCACAGGCGGACCTGGTAAATGACCTGGGGAACAAAGGCTACCTGGTATTTGGCCTCATCCTCTTCGTGTGGGAGCTGCTGCCCACCACCCTGCTGGTGGGCTTCTTCCGGGTACACCGGCCCCCACAGGACCTGGTAAGGGTCTGCACCCTCCCCTGTGGGCCCAGTGGAGAGGGGCAGATGCTGGGAATCCTGGGTTAGCATCTGGGGATGGGCAGGGAGAACAGTGTGGGACAGGAGTAAGTATCGATGATGGCTTCCTCCTCCAGAGCACCAGCCACATCCTCAATGGGCAGGTCTTTGCCTCCCGGTCCTACTTCTTTGACCGGGCTGGGCACTGTGAAGATGAGGGCTGCTCCTGGGAGCACAGCCGGGGTGAGAGCACCAGGTAGGAGCCATGGCACTGCCTCAGTACCCCTGCCCCCCTCCACCCACTTGGCTCCATCGAGCTATGGGGGACTGAGAGAGCCGGGTCTTGCCCTTCCACCCCTGCCATGGCCTTTGCTTCCCCATCTGTACTAGGTGAGGTCCCCTGGGTTCCTATGGCTAAAGCCTCCATCCCTTGCCTAGAGATGTACTTTGCCCTGGGCCCGAAAGGTCTAGGTCACAGGGGTTCTGTTCTAAGCCTCTGTTCCTCCTGCAGCTCTTGTGACTGTGGCCCTGGTCACTGTCCTGAGACTGACCCTGTTTCTCTGCTGCAGTATGTCAGGCAGTCTAGGCTCTGGGAGCTGGTATGGCGCCATCGGGCGTGAGCCGGGCTGGTATGGGGGCAGCCAGACGAAGACCACTCCTCTGCTCTTCTCCCAGGTGCCAGGACCAGGCGGCCACCACCACAGTCTCTACTCCACCCCACAGACGTGATCCCCTTCCCTCCCCCACAGAATATCCAGGCCCCAGTCCCCGTCACCCTAAGCCCCTGTGCCAAGTTTGCCACTTCTTGCCCAGGATCCTGGGGGTCGTGGCTGCCCCCTCCTCTGGTCAGCTCCTTGCTGCTCCTGTCATAGTGAGCTTGTGCCGTCCCCCTAGGATGGGGGCGTGGCCCTGGCTGCCAGATGCCCACAGCACCCTGGCATGACCTGCGACCTCCGCTTCCACACCGGAGCCAGCTACCTCTCCTGTGCCTGCCACTCAATAAACAGTGTCTGTGCCCCACAGTTGTTCACCTGTCTGTCATCTGCCTTGTGTTCCTGTCACTTTTGCCTGTTTGGCCTAAGGCTGAACAGACAGTGGCCCTTGAAGTGGGCTGCTAGGCTGGGCAGGGGCCACTTACCCCATCAAGGCTGGTGGGCTGGGAGAGGAGGGGCCTGCAGTTTGCAAAGGAAGGAGACCACACAGGCCTTTGTTCTCAAAGCTCTGCTGGCCCAGAATTGCCCCACTAACTCCAGATCCCTCTCCACTTGAACAGTTCCTACTCTTTCCTCAAGACCTGCGTCAACTGTTACTATCTTTAGGAAGCCTTCTGTCTAATGGTCAAGGGATGTGGCCCCTCTGCTAGGCCCCACAGCCCCACATTACTGTGGTTATGTGGCTACTGAGGATTTTTTTTTTCTTTTTTTTTTGAGACAGGGTCTGTCACTCAGACTGGAGTGCAGTGGCACGATCATGGCCCACTGCAGCCTCAACCAACCAGGCTCAAGCAATCCTCCTGCCTCAGCCTGCCTAATTTTTTTTTTTTTTTTTTTTTTT